TAATGGGCAGCAGGTTTAAAACAAATAAAAGGAAGTTCTTCTTCACACAGCGCACAGTCAACTTGTGGAACTCCTTGCCTGAGGAGGTTGTGAAGGCTAGGATTATAACAGCGTTTAAAAGAGAACTGGATAAATTCATGGAGGTTAAGTCCGTTAATGGATATTAGCCAGGATGGGTAAGGAAGGGTGTCCCTAGCCTCTGTTTGTCAGAGGGTGGAGATGGATGGCAGGAGAGAGATCACTTGATCATTGCCTGTTGGGTTCACTCCCTCTGGGGCACCTGGCATTGGCCACTGTCGGTAGACAGGATACTGGGCTAGATGGACCTTTGGTCTGACCCAGTACGGCCATTCTTATGTTCTTATGTTATATAACGTATTTTTTAAATTTTAAGGTCAGATTCTGGAGCACAATTCTTTGTTATGGGGGTGAATTCTGTGGTAAATCCTGCAGAATGCAGAGGACCCTGATTATAGGAAACCACAGACAAAACAGGCTTCTACAGAACTTGAGTGCCAACTTTGTCTCCAATGTTTACTAGGGACCACACACAGTGTGACACACTAAGGCATACAAAGATATCTAGTAGTTGAATAAAGAAATTAACATATTAAAGTATATATTTTCTAGTGTCAGACTTAGACTTCCTTTACTTCGAGAGCCAGATTCCTCTTTATTTGCAGGGTCTCAGTCCCTATTGTCTTCTCTTTCTAGAGCTCCATTTCTCACTATCTTTCTCGGCTTCCATTACTCTTTCCCCTAGTGCCTATATTTCCATCTCTTCTACCTTATCTCAGATGATCTTTGCTATTAGTTCCTCTCATCTAGTTCCCAGCACACATCTTTTTCCATTCCTTCCCTCAGTAGAGCAGCTTAAAGATATATTTACAATTATGGTGAAATTGCATGAAAACTTGATTTTGTGGAGGGAAAAATAATTGATGTTGCCTTTCTCCTATTCCTGACTGACAACCTTAGCCTTTTGGATGATGGACTATATTTCTGCATGAAGAGACACCTCATTCTGGTGTCTCAGTACACAACATGATTTTCAGAGCTACTGCTATTCTGAACTTAAAGCTGGGGAGCTGAAAATGTGAATATGACACAAATGCAGAATACTCACTTACATATGTATATTCTCATGAAGCCATGACACTTGAATGACATTTTGTCATCTTCAGCCATCTCTAAGGCTCTCTGTTCTTAGTTTCTCTAGTGCAATTTTTAAGAAGTTGTGGCAACTCCTAATTTTCCCAGAGAGTTCTCAAATATCAATTTTTGGTTCTAATAAGGCATTTTCTTTGCCTTCCTCTGAAGAAACATCAGTCTAGTGACTGACAGACATGAGCAATACTGAATAAAAAAATGACTTATTTTAAAACTAAGTTTAATTAAGGCTAGCCATATCAGAACAATATACCCACTGAATACAATTATCTCTTCAGCTACTCCGCTACAGGAGATTAGTATTAGTTGAGGATTATGAATTGTAGATAAATGAAAGCATTCAGTCTTAATTATTCATAATTACTAGGGACTGGCAAGTTGGATGATATCTTGGGTTTTGTGACACCATTGGCACGTTTAAAAAAAAAAATTCTGAAATTTCTCAGTTCATGAAATATTTTTCTTCATAATTGAAACCATTATATCCCAGGAGCAAATTTAGTTTTAACCTTCTCCCTAATATATTTCTAATAACATGGCCTGTACTATGTAAATATTGAAAATTATGTTTAAAAGTAATTTTTGCCTGACTTCTAGCATAATCAGGAAAATAAATTAAAAATATACAGGCTAAAACTTGCTATATGACAGAGGCAAATGGTATTGATGGCTAATTGCATTTATTTTGGTAGCAGTTAAGATCTCAGTCAGGCTCCCTTTGTACATGTCAGTGCACAAACATTTAATAGGAAGATGGTTACTGCTCCAAACGGCTTACAGTCTAATGCTTGGAACCTTGTACATCTTGAGTTCTCTTTTAAATCTAGAGCCAAGGGCTTTCAAGTGGGCTCTGAATTTGGGAAAAGAAGTTTTGTCCTTCTTAGTATTAAATCAAAAGTATAGGTCCTGATTCTCCTCTCACTCTATTACTGTGAATGTAAATTGGGAATAAGTTTATGGAAATCAATGGAGCTGCACCAGTGGAAAAACTGAGTAGAGAATCAGAGCTGCTCCACCACAGACTTCAAGTGTGAGCCTGGTTAAGTCACTTATTCACTCTGGGGGCTCAGTTTCCCCATCTGTAAAATGGGCAGGCTAATACTTCTCTACCTCACAAAGGTGTTGAGGACAAATACATACAAGATTGTGAGAGGCTCTCATATTATATTAAGGAGGACCCTATATGTATGATAGATCCACTGAATCCTCTTTTTCTTTTATTGGGCTTTTCATCCTGAGATTCCAAAATGCTTTCTATAGGGTATATAGAAATCACTTCATTCATCAGAATAATGCATTCCACCCTTGGGGAGGAATATAACAGCTATTTAACGGTTCACTGCATGGCAATTTAGGCTAGAAAAGAACACTGAATCCAACTGAAACTACAGTTTGTCAGTTGGAAAAACAAATGTACTTTCAAGAAGGCTGATTGCAGCAATTCTTCCTTAATAGTGTTCATGCAGAATACCAGTAACAACTGACAGTAAAGAGCTAATTATTGATTGTTGCTAAAATTATTCCACTGAAGTAGCTGATCTCAGAAATTATTGTGACTTCAATCATTCTGCTACTGTTTCTCACCCCAATCCAAAGGAGTACTTAAAGAGGTGCTTTAACTCCCACTGAAGCCAATGGGACTGAAGCACATGCTTAAAGTTAAGCACACACCCAAGTATTTTACTGTATCAAGCCAATAGTATGTAGTACCTTTCAGGATAAAACCCTACCTTGTGATTGGCAGTGATAAATCTAAGCCTTAACATATTCTCTAGCTTTTTAAATAACATTCTGACTCCAGAACACTTCTTCCCTTCCTGGTATTACTCTATTCCCAATGCAGTATACCACTCTGCTCTGTTGGAATCCATAACTTATGATTTTTAATGAATTCCTTGGGAAGAATCCTTGACTGAGGGGATGGCTCATTCCCAGCCGCAGCCACATAAACCAGAGCTGTCATCAGCAAATGTGATTTGCCCTTGAACAGACGCGCATATGCTAATCCTTTCATGATCTCACCATCCTTTTTTAGTAGTAGCTTCATTTAATAAGTGCAACCTGCACCTGTCACTCTGCCAAAGGAAGAGCCTGTCATGTGATTTAGCGTCTGAAAAATTTCTGAGGCAGTGCGGCTTGGCTGGCTCCTCAATTCTCTGCACTCTGAGGCTGCTCAAGTACAATAGGCTGACTGTCTGCCTGAAGGGCCACAGTTCAAATCACATCTTCGTGCTCTCCTAAATCAGCCCCCAGACTGATGTTAGGAATTCACAGATGTCGGAAGTTGGAATTGGCAAGGAGGGATGTGTTTCACCCTGAGAGGACGGAGGTTCAGATATGGGCTGCCTTAGCTGCAGGAGAAATCCTGAGCTTGTGCAAAAGCCACCATTTTGATATGTGGGGGGAAATATAACTAGCAGGGCTTAAGGCAACTCTGTTGTCTCCTTCAGTCTGTTTGTCTCTGCAAGGGTCAGCTTGATGAGATGATGATGGATGGTAACAGGGAGAAAAGAATGATGCGGATACACTCATTCAGCAGAACTACAACCTTTGGAATTAAGTGACTGCCTACTGCAAGATCTCTGCACTGCACAGCAAAATCTTTTTGACTTTGTAAGCTGTTATAGCACACACAACTACCTTTTTCAAAAGTCATTGTGAGGGCATGAGGGGCCAGATTTTTCAAGTGCTCAGTATTCACAACCGGGGGAAGATTTTTTCAAAAGTTCAGTTCCCATTCTGTCACTTACGGCCTGACTTTTCTAAATAGTTCAACCCCCAACGTACTGAGCTCCTTTTGAAAATCCAGCACCTAAGTGAGATGTGAATGCTTTGGAAAATCTGCTTGGAGTGTGGGTGTCAAACTTCTGAAAATTTGCCTCCATGTGTAATAACTGCACATGTGTAGCAACCGCAGGTTGCTTTATTTTCAAAGACTTGGGTAACTGTGTTGGATTCTGAAGAGCATTTGACATGCCAATGCATAGAGACTCTCAGACATATAATTGCGTCTGGCTCAGTAACTGGCACTGCACAAAGACAGATTATATCTAAGGTATTTATAGAGCACAAGTCACCACAGTATCTAGGAGACGCGATAGCAACATGTTACTCAGTACTAGTCACCTGCTTTCTGTGCACACTGGGAAAATGTGTATCTTTCTACTTAAGTCCCAGAAAAATCAGATATTTCTCTTACACATCTACCATAAATAACCTCTCATTTCCTCCAGGCAGCTGTGGTATGCAGAGAAATCACAGGTTCTTTATACACCTACAGGCCCTGATGAGGATTGGGGTCTCATTGTGCTAGGGTCCTACAAACACAGGCAATAGTCCCTGCCCTGAGGAACTTAGAAGATAAATGGACCTTCATGGAGGCCTTGCCCCAATGCCTCCCAGCCATTGGGTTTGTGATCCAATCTGCTTCTCCCTGCCTAACAGAATTTGCCTTGCCAGCAATAGAGGATGCCTTATCTACACTGGGGAAAGTGCAGTGTGTTAGAACATGTATTAATGTACTTTAACTAACACACCATAGGTTTGGGCTTAGTGTGATCAAGGATTGTCATATTTAAAAACATGTTAGCTGATTAACCCTGGGCTGCCTCCTAAGTTTAATGGCAGCCATACAACATACTCCTAGAACTGGAAGGGACCTTGAAAGGTCATCAAGTCCAGCCCCCTGCCTTCACCTAGCAGGACCAAATACTGATTTTGCCCCAGATCCCTAAGTGGCCCCCTCAAGGATTGAACTCACAACTGTGGGTTTAGCAGGCCAATGCTCAAACCACTGAGCTCCCCCTCCCCCAAAGGAGAGAAAGCAGCAATTTTTCTGGCTGGTTTTGAACCTGGGACCTTTTGCATATTAGGCAAATGTGATAACCACTACACTACAGAACTTTTAAACCCTGCCTACATTGGCTACTAAGTTGTTTAATGTCATGTTAGAAAATATATTAAACACATTTCCCCACTGCAGACCTGGCCTGACAGGGTGCGGTAGAGCTTATCAAATGAAATGGGGGCAACAGCGGGAGAGACTCTCAGTCAAGATCCTGGACAAACACAATGTAAGACTAGCCTCTAGCTATTTCAAAAGGAGGCAGATGGGTTGGTGACTGTAGGGAATTGGCATGTGAGTCCATCAAAGGGCAAGTATATCGTTATGGGAGACATGGCAGGACTGGTGGTATTGACAGATGGCTGCTGCTTGGGGGTAGAGGGTGGGAAATTAGCTCAGAATTGATAGTGCAGAGCCAGAAAAATAACAAAGGATAAAATGAAACCAAAAAAGCAACCAGTCTGCTTCCTATTTGTTGGTTGCCTTCCTCTGACTTTCAGTATCACTTCTTTAGCCACTGGTTTGCTTTTAACTCTGGCTCCCTGACTCGAAGCAATAAATACTTCCTGAAATGTTCAAATAATACACTACATTTGGACAGGGCATGGCTGTGTATGGAACAGATCTTAGAGTTTTTATCACTCCAAGAAGTGGGGCTCTCGAGATGTGATCATTCATACATTCCAAAACAAAAAGGGACCATTGTGATCATCTAGTCTGACCACCTGTATTACACAGGCCATAGAACTTCCAGTGTATCTTTTAGAAAAACATTCCGTTTTGGTTAAAAAGTTACCACTGATGGCGAATCCACCATAATCCTTGGTAAATTGTTCCAAAATTTAATTATTCTCACTGTTAAAAAATTACTCCTTATTTCCAGTCTGAATTTGTCTAGATTCAACTTCCAGCCACTGGATCATGTTCTACCTTTATATGCTAGACTGAAGAGCCAATTATTAAATATTTGTTCCTCATGTAGGTACTTATAGCGGGGAATCAAGTCACCCCTTAATTTTTTCTTTGTTAAGCTAAATAGATTGAGGTCCTTGAGTCTATCACTATAAGGGATGTTTTCTAACCCTTTAATCATTCTCATGGCTCTTCTCTGAACCCTCTCCAATTATCAACATCCTCCTTGAATCATGAGAACCAGAGGTCACACGGGCTGTTTGGAAAGAATCGATGGGTATAGGAGGAAGCAGCCTGCTTGTGAAGCAATGCTCACATTCTGCAGTCTGGTCACTGTGCTGAGCAAAAACAGATGTGGCATGTCAGAAGTAGAAAGCTCTCTAATCAGTAGTTCCTGCTCACACCCTGAGAATAAGGCAGGCCAGCTTGCTCCGCTGATCTCCCCATTCTGACAAATAAATTGAGTTACAGGGCAAGCAATAAGCAGGAGCCACTGTGGCATCGGGTGGAATAATAGCAGAGGAGTGACAGAGTGACAAACCATTGTTTGTAGCAGAAGGGATCGAATGAAAGGGATGACTGACAGCACAGTTAGCACTGCCAATTCAGCAGGAGTCAGAGGCAGCACTTCCAAACAAAAATCACAGAGGCTGGCAGTACTGCAGAGCTGAACCTGCCGAGTCTTGCAGACTTGCCCTCTGTGGCAGATGGGTAGATTCTATGTATATCATACGGCACATCATGGTAAGCTCCAGTGCTGCCCATGAAGAAAGCTGGATTGTTGTCATGCCATGTAAGGATGGAGCATGACATGGGCTGCAGCAAGGCTTGAAAAATACACAAGGGCACAATCCCCAGCTGATACAAAGCCTACCGCTAACAGAGACGCACTGTTTGAGCTGAAAATTATAGTAGTAATAGGTGATACCCGTCTTCTGAGATCCTGAAATGGTGACTGCTCACAATGACAACTGCCAGCAGTTATTCCTACCATTCCCATTATTCATTTTCATGATGGAGATGAAACCTATTTTGCTAATGTATACAGCGCTCAGATACTATGGTTAGCGGTGCTGAGTACCTGCATGGGTGGATAGATATCACTTGTACACCAATAACATATGAAAACCCCATATATTAATTCTAGTCTTTCCAGGCTATGTTGTTGGGGAAATAGTATTATCAAATGAATCAGCTGAGAGCAATTTGGCAAAGATTAAATATAATGAGTCTGATTCTCCTCTCCTTGACACCACTTCAAAACTAACTTAACTCCATAGACTTCAAGGGAGTTACTTCAGATTTACATAAGCATAAATATATGGAGACTCGGGTTCTCTGTGAAAAAACAACTACGAGTGGTGTTAATCCCAGGTCTGAAATGTTAGGTTCAAAGGTATTTTAATCCATTGATTACAACACTGAACTAGCTCTCACTTGGTGGGGGAAAACTATAGCTTTAATTATTTGGAGAGAGCAGTCTCATTAAGAAGGTTCTGACTGTGCAGCATAATTTCTCTTCTTTATAACCTCACCGGGGATGAAGCTTTGAAAAAAAAAGAGCTTAGACGTTATTCTATGCATAGGGGACTAACCACAAGGTAACTGTTGTTATTATAACACTCAAAAGTGGACTGGGAAGCTAGATTGCATAGGGTAACTTTCAGAGGGCGAAACAAAGGCAGTTTTTATTCCATTTGTAGGCCCTTTGGGATTAGCTTTTTTTCATGTGGGTTAGTTTTATAAAGCCAAACATCTAGTCTGGGTACCTCTAGAATGGTGTTTGTAAAGAAAATTAAATACCACAGCCTGTTGCTTTTATAGATATGGTGAAGTTATACTAGTCATAATAGAGAATCCAAATCTTTCCTGCACCTGAGACCTTGAAAGGGGTGTGAAATACCACTTTTTACTTCCAGCTGAATTCTCACTAGATAGGAAGGTCCCCTCTGTGCACACTGTGGGATCATGGTGAGGCATGAGGTGCCTTGGAGTGAGCTACATATTTTGAAACAACTCGTTTTGAATGTGTGTGTGGCTAGGTCTACACTACCCGCCTGAATCGGCGGGTAGAAATCGACCTCTCGGGGATCGATTTATCGCGTCCCGTCGGGACGCAACAATCGATCCCCGAATCGACGCTCTTACTCCACCAGCGAAGGTGGGAGTAAGCGCCGTCGACAGGAAGCTGCAGAGGTCGATTTTGCCACCGTCCCTACAGCGGGGTAAGTCGGCTGCGATACGTCGAATTCAGCTACGCTATTCGCGTAGCTGAATTTGCGTATCTTAAATCGACCCCCCCCCGTAGTGAAGACGTAGCCTGTGTGTGTGTCTAAGTCCCATTCGTAAGTGCTGATTTCTGGCCCTATCTACACTTATAGCTTTGCATGTCAAAAACCAGAATTGTCATAGAATTGTTTAATTCTAAAGTAATGTAAAAATGGCTCTCTAGCAACTAATCCAGTTAGTTTTCAGCTTGCTGCAGCGAAGGGGCCATCTTGAAAAGTGAGGAGGAATGAGAGATGTCGCCTATCTGGGTCCTGTTATAATGAGCAGTACAATGGTTAACAGGTTATTTCATTTGATTTGTTGTTTGACTTCCTCTTAGACTATACAGACCTATCCACTTCCTGTGTGGTGCACTGACTGTGGAGGTGATCCTGGAGTTCTTGCCAGGTGCAAAGATCCGCACATGCAGATCCAGTGTCAGACTCAGGCCCTGGGACAGTACTAGTGCAAGGCCTTTATGAAAACAAATGGTAGCAATAGCAGGATTCGGTCTGTAACAGATTTCGTTTTGGCCCCCAATCCAAACCCCCTGACAAAGTGCATTCATTTGCTGGTAAGTTTCACTGCACTGTTTAAGTTACTTTCCAGCTGTAAGGACAACTGGAGAGGATTTGTTTGGAAAGGATGAATCTTTGCTCTCCCGCAGCAGCATGTGAGCAAGTGGTAGCCAAGACACAAATCAGCATGGCCATTCTGAATCTGCTGGGGAACTCTCTTGTTTGCATACAGTACATTAGGGGAGAGGGAAACCTGATTGGTTTAGTACCTCTTGAGACTTTTAACTTACTACTTGAAATATAATAGTGAGGCAGAAGAGACAGAAGCCAGCTGGACTAAATTCATCCCTGGTGTAACTACTGAAGTTGGAGTTATAATATAGCTGAATTTGGCCCATATAGTCTTAGCACTGAGGATTCAACAAAGCCCTCAGGGAGGATCCATGTTGAAAGCTTTTCTTTAAATTATTGCATTGCAGCTCAGTTCCTTTATTATTCAGCATGAGTCACCCTGGTCCCTCTCTCGAAGTCTGATTTGCTATGGATATATGTGACAGTGTTCTCCCCTCATCAGTCAGTAAAATATAAATCATATGAAAACACTTTAGCATTCCGATTGAACAGTCACTATACTGTAGTTTAATGAGAAGACAGGCTGTTTAGGGTGGAGGTTATTTTACTGGTGCTATTCCATCTCTGTTACTGCATTTAAAGGACTCCTAATGCCAAAAATACTGGCTGGAGATGGGATGTGCTCCACACACTGGCCCTGCAAGAGCTGAATTGGGCCAGATGGCCCCAATAAGCTAATTAGGCTGCAAATGGAGGAGCTTTAGGTTGGATGCAGCTAATTAGAGAGAAGCAGCCTCTCCCTGGGAAGAGGGAGGAGTGCTTGGAGGTTGCCAAGACAGGTTGCCTAAAGTTACTCCCTGGGAGAAGGGATGGAAGAGACTGGCAAACCCAGAGGAATGGGGAAGGCCAGGAGGTATGGAAGCAACACAAGAAAAGGCAGAAAGGTGCAGGAAATGGACCTTGGTTGCTGTGTAGAGGGTCCCTGAACCAGAACCTAGAGTAGAGGGTGGGCCTGGGTTCCCCTGCCAGCCACTGTGGGAGTGGCACTGTGAAGCAGAAGACTGCCTGGGACTGCTGGAGAGCAGGAACCTTGATATGCTCCTCTCTGCCCCCTGGGAGGGGATATCACAACAGTGACCTGGGTGGAGTCATGAAGTGGACAACTGCAGCCCCTGAGACAGAGAGGAGCTACAGAGGAGAAACTGAGAGGATGTAACCGCTGGAAGGGGCATCAGCCTGACTGAGCTAATCCCCAGAACCACCAGGAGGCAGCGCCATACAGCGGTAAG